GGTCTGACGCTCCGGCGGGGGGAAGCGGAGAAGGCTGGCAGGGGGGTGGGAGGCAGGCTGTGCTCCCCCCAGAGGTGGGCTGGGCTGGGGCTCCTCGGCCCCAGGGCCCCAGGGCTGGGGCTCAAGGCCCTGTGCGGAGAGCTGGGGGGCCGGGGCAGAGAAGAGCCGGGGGTCCGGGGCATCTTTGCCCTGCTGCTGGCAGGTGATGGCGGGGGGCCCCGCCCCCCCGCGCGCTGGAGTGCTGAAGGTGAAGGTGCCTTCGCCAGAGTCGCTGCGGCGGCCAGCCTCAATGGAGAAGATGGTCTGTGGGGCCAGAGGGCAGGGTGAGGGGCTGGCACCTGCCCTGGGCAGCCAGCAGCCCCAGGGAGGGGGAGAGGCACACACCTGATCCTGGCCAAACTTGCGGAGGAAGGGATAGGGCCAGGTGAGCAGGGACTGGCGGGACTGCGGGTCCTTCAGCGTCAGGCTCTCGGGAAGGGCTGAGAGCAGGTAATGCCCGTGCAGGCCGCAGCGGGCGGCCGCATCCGTCCGGACCACCAGCACTGGGAATTCGGTCACTGCAGGAGCAGAGCAAGGTGGGAGTCAGCACCGCAGCACAGAGCTGGAGCCCACCCTGGCCCCATCCGCCACCCCTGCACATACGGTCCTGCCAGGAAGAGTAGAGGGAGTTCTCTTCCATGGGGACAGCAGGGCTGGGCTGGGTCCTGGCACTGCTCTGCGCCATCTCCTTTGCACCCTGAAACAGAGGGATGTGAGCACAGCCCCCGGACCGGGGGATCACAAGCCCCCCTGCCTGCCCACGCACCCCAGAGCCCCCTGGCTCACCCGAGCCAGGAGCAGCGTGAGGGCTCCCAGCTACGCCTGACCCCACAGTACCTGGAAGGCCAGCTGGCAGAGCTGGGCGATCCACTCATCCCGCTGCTCGGCCGCCAGCACGTAGCTCTTTTCCGTGGTGGTGAGGTAGAAGGCAGCAGTGGCTCTGGGGCAGCTCTCAGTGCCCGCTGGGCCCACGGAGACGCAGTCTGAGAGGCGGATCACCCGCCGGGCACACCGCCGCAGGGAGGTCTTCTCCAGCGCCGTGCCATCATCTCGCACGTCGAACTTCTCCATGCGGGCCACGCCGGAGGGGCTGGCAGCAAAGAGCTGGGCTCGCATCTTCCTCCAGGACCTCTGTGGCATGGGAAGGGCGCAGGCAGGGGAAAAAAAGGGTCAGCAAAGAGCTGCCTGCTGCGTCCTCGCAGCGCTGCCCTCCATGTGGGGCTGACAGTGCTTGGGAAGAGCCATGTGGGGCAGGAGGGGGCACAGGGGGTCCCTGCCCACACCCGCCAGGTGCTGCTGGAGGGCATGGAGAGCCGGGGCCAGTGCTGGGTTGAGGGGGGGCCCTGCCCTGAGCAAGCTCAGCATGGCTCGCTGGGTGAGTCACACTCGCTGCCGGCTCGCTGAGCACCAGGTCCTGCTCTTTGTTCCCCGCTGCAAGTGCTGGCCTGCCGCTGCTGCAGCTGAGCTCTCAAGCTGTTCTCAGGACAGACCCTGATGCAAATTAAAGCCATTTTGAGCTGCTGAGGCTCCTGCTGGCAGCCTCACATCTGCTGAGCGCTGCCAGGCCCTGCAGCTCGCAGCCCGCTTCCTCCCAGGGGAGGCTCTGTGGCACCAGCACCTTCCCAGCCTGTCATGGGATAGAGGGGGCGCGTGCCCCCACGCACCTCAAAAGCGCAGCAGAGCCTCCGCCCTGCAGAAACCAGATGCAGCCAAGCACCCAAAATACCCATCGCCACCAGCCCGCCTGCCTCCTACGCAGCAGGGCACCGGCCCCACACACGCAGGGCCTGCCCGCTTCAGTTCCAGGACTCGGCTCTTGCTCGGCAGGGAGGTCGGAGCGTGGTCACAGCCCAGCACATCCACCGAGCCCCCCGTGGGGGCACGGCTGCCCTGCCATGGCAGAGGGGATGCCGCTAAGGCAAGGCCAGCGTGCCAGTGGGACCTGCTTCGCCAACACCCACCTCACAGCTCCCTAGAGCTGGCTCAACCCTGCAGTGACTCCCACCATGTCACCCAAACCGTGCCCAGTGGCCTGCAGCAATCGGTGCCCACCCCGAGGGCCCAGGGCAGCAGGCCAAGCCACGAGGGGTGCCCCACGGATGGCACTGGCACCCCAGGGCCAGGCATGCGGAGGGCTGGGTGCAGAGCCACGTCCCACGCACTGCCCCGGTGCCCCGCTCCCACACACACACTGGAGCTGCGCCTCGTTAACACACATTTATTGTTTCATCGTGAATCACGCGGTGACCAAGCGAGAAGAGGGACCCCACGTGCAGGGGCGAGCCTGAGCAGATGCCTGCACGGATGAGTCCCCTCGGCCGCAGGGAGAGCCCTGCTCCTGGGGCTGAGGAGCCCAGGGCCCCCCCAGAGCAGCTCCGAGGGGTCTGGCTCCAGTCCCCCCTTCCCAGGCTGCCGAGGGCCCAGCCCCAGGCCTGGCATCAAGACAGATCAGGGCAAACCCCGTACCCAGCCCCAAATCCACCCTTTACCTTTCCAAATTTGCAGTGCTGAACATAGAGGATCCCATCCTTCACTGGTCTCTCCATGGGCCCAGCGTCACCCTGGCAGCCAGCACAAGGATCAGGGACTCGGGCTACCAGCAGCGGAGAAAATGTGACTGCTGCAGCTGAAGCAACTGCATGGGGCAGACTTCCTTCTCTCAGCAACTTCCCCTTTTTGGTGTGTGGGATGAGGGGCAGAGGCTGGGTCACAGGAGGTATCCGTCCATCCGCCCTCCCTCTCGCAGAGGGGCAGTGGGGC